CCTGAGCGTCGCGTTCCACCCTCGCCGGGAGCAGCAATAGGGGGGCGGGTCGCGCTCACGCCGCCGCCGCGGCAGCTTTTGCGGGCTGACCGGGACCGGAGCATCCATGGGGCTGGGGCCGCGCTCCCCCCACAAGGCCGGGCGCCGTTTCCCAGCTGGTGGCAAACGGGGGCGCGGTGCCAAGGTGTTGGGGCGCTCCTCAGGCCGCGAGCGACAGCCCTGCCCGCCCCCGGACGGGCGCTCGCCGCCGGCTCTGGACGCGCACCCTCACCTGAGCCCCGAAGCGCTGGGGTACTTCCGCCGGGCGCTGTTGGCGCTGAAAGAAGCCCCGGAGGCCGGAGAAGAACGAGGTGGGTGGGCTCTTCCGGGTGGGACCAGGAGCGGGGTTTCCTGGGCATAAAATTCAGTGCAGGCAAGGACCTTGTGGTGGGTTCCCAGGGCGGGGGACTGTTTCATCTCCCGTGTCCTCTTCCTCGCTCCCAGCCCCTGGGCTAAGTGATGGAACATAACCTCCTCTCAGTCTCTTTAAAATATTTCGTGAAATAAGCCAGTCAGAGAAAGAGAAATATCACATGATCTCACTCATTTGTGGAATATAATGAACAACACAAACTGATGAACAAAATATATCCAGAGACAGAAGCATCGATCAGACCGTCAAACCTCAGAGGGAAGGTAGGGGAGGGTGGGGGTAAGGGGGGAGAGATCAACCAAAGGACTTGTATGCATGTATGTAAGCCTAACCAATGGACACAGACACCAGGGGAGTGAGGGCATGAGTGGGGGGGATGGGGTTAATGTGGGGATAAGGACACATGTAATAACTTAATCAAAAAATAAAAATAGCCTTAACCAGTTTGGCTCAGTGGAAGGAGTGTCGGCCTGTGGACTCAAGGGTCCCGGATTCGATTCCGGCCAAGGACATGTACCTTGCTTGTGGGCACATATCCAGTAGGGAGTGTGCAGGAGGCAGCTGATTGATGTTTCTAACTCTCTATCCCTCTCTCTTCCTCTCTGTAAAAAATCAATAAAATATATTAAAAAATAATAATAATAAATAAATAAATAAATAAATAAATAAAATATTTCTTTGTCTTCCCAGAGCTGATGGTGCACAATGTTTTGAAGGAAGTGGAGGCTCAGGCCCTCGCCTTGGCCACAAACAGGACTGGCAGTGAGATGCTGCAGGAACTGTTGGGGTACAGCACCCTGAAACCTCTGTGTGGAGTATTGGCTGCTCTGCGCCCCAGCTTGCGCTCTGTGGCCTGTCACCGGTGTGGGGTCCACGTATTGCAGAGCGCTTTGCAGCAGCTGCCCCGATTGTTGGGGAGCTGTGCGGAGGAGGAGGCAGAGGAGGAGGAGGCGGTGCCTCCCTTGGAGACCCTGGAGGAGCTGGTGCTGGGACTAGCCTCTGAGGTGTGTGATGATTTCCTTTTCTACTGTGGAGACACACATGGCAGCTTCGTGGTCAGAACTCTGCTGCAGGTGTTAGGAGGGACTCTTCTGGAGTCCGAGAGAGCCAGACCCCGGGGCTCCCGGTCACCTGGTAAGTATTACAGGAGAGGGAAGTGGGCCGGGAGGAAAGGAGAGTTTAGGAAGTTCAGGAGGAGATGGTGGCAGAAGAGTAAGTCTTCACGACCTTGAAGAACTAACAAAAGTTAGGACAGGGTTAGCTGGCCAAAGATTAGTGTGCTACAGAAGCCCAGAGGCAGGGTGTGTTTAGGGAAAGCTAACCATGACTCAGTGTACATGTATATGTAGACACATACTGGATGTAAGCAAAAGATCAGGAAATAATACCCTTACTACATGCAAACCACTCTAATATTTTCTTTTCTTTTGTATTCTGTTCTATTCCATTACAAAGGTGCTGGTTGAGACCCATGAAATTGATTTCGTGATTCATTCATAGGCAGTGACCTACATTTTTAAAAACTGGGAAATAAGGTTAGAGAATTTAGATAAGGCCTGATTTTGGGAACATCTTGAATTTCTGGCTAAGGAGTTTGGACTATCTCCCATGGTCCATGGGAAAGCTGGTTGAAGTGTCTCAGACAAATTGAAACAGAAATGTGGTCTCGATTCCATCATCTAGATGAGAAGAGAAATTCAGTTGTGTTCTGCATTTCTAAGGTAAACCCTTGTTCATCTCTGCCAGCGATTTTTAACCGGTGTGCTGTGACACACTGCAAGAATATTTAAAACAGCCGAAACCGGTTTGGCTCAGTGGATAGAGCGTCGGCCTGCGGACTGAAGGGTCCCAGGTTCGATTCCGGTCAAGGGCATGTACCTGGGTTGGGTTGCGGGCATATCCCCAGTAGGAGATGTGCAGGAGGCAGCTGATCGATGTTTCTCTCTCATCGATGTTTCTAGCTCTCTATCTCTCTCCCTTCCTCTCTGTGAAAAATCAATAAAATATATTTAAAAAAAAAAAAAAGAATATTTAAAACATGTGATACCTGTTATTTAGTCAGGGGCACTGACCTCTTTTCCCTTAGATTGTCAAATAAAAAAAGGCACCACCTAACACAACAATAGCTGTCCAGTGTGAATGAATCAAAACTTTACTTATATTTTTGTCAGTTGGCAAAATACATTTTTTCTGGTGTGCTACAGAATTTAGTAATTTGTTTATGGGTGCGATGAAATGGAAAAGGTTGAAAATTCCTGACCTGTGGAATTCTTCTCCCTCTGGCATGGTTTTTTTGTGGTCTTGCCACTTGATTTTCCTTCAGAAGCACAAAGAACTCCAGCTCGGGAATGTAAACCAACTGATTTTGAGGTTCCTGAATCCTTCTTGAATTGTCTTCAGGACCTGAGCTCCTGCTTTCTGAAGGACATTGCTGGTAAGGAGGGAAGTAGGAGGAGGGTCTAGGACAGGGGTGGGCAAACTTTTTGACTCGAGGGCCACAATGGGTTCTTAAACTGGACCGGAGGGCCGGAACAAAAGCATGGATGGAGTGTTTGTGTGAACTAATATAAATTCAAAGTAAACATCATTACATAAACGGGTACGGTCTTTTTTTTTTTTTTAGTTTTATTCATTTCAAAGGGCCGGATTCGGCCCGCGGGCCGTAGTTTGCCCACGGCTGGTCTAGGATCTACTTTTCTGGAGGTGATTATCTTCGAATAAGGCCCTTCTTTAGATCAGTCTTCTTTTCACATCTGATCTGATTTGTGTTGCAAAGACTCTGTAGACCCTTTTTCCATGGTCCCTTGTACCTTGTTGTTTGAGGTTGTACGGGTCGTCTGGATTTTGGGAAAGCTGCTTTTATTATTTCTGCTCTCTCACAACAGTGTTTATCACTGACAAGATCTCCAGTTTCTGCTTTCAAGTGGCCTTACAGATCTTACACCGCAAAGTGCCCCAGTTGTGTGCCCACCTCTGTAATGCTGTGATTGACTATCTGAGTAACCGCAATTCCTCAGCAGATGGCAGGTAAGGTCTGGCCTCAGGATTGGTCAGGATTGATGGGGTGTGTATAATAAATGAGGTGTGTAGGTATTTTGGATGGAGTGGAGTTAAAACTACCTTCTTGTCTCCAGCCCCCTACTGCTATTTCTGCGGGATCAGACGAGCTCCAGACTTCTGGAGCAGGTGCTGCTGGTGTTGGAGCCCCCGAGGCTCCAGAGCCTTTTTGAGGATCACTTCCAAGGGCAGCTGCAGACCATGGCTGCACATCCTATTGCCAACTTCCCTTTGCAGCGTTTACTAGATGCTGTCACTACCCCTGAGCTCGTGAGTCGGGAACTTGGCTGGGTCTGTTTCTGTACGCTGTTGCTTCTACTAGTTCTTGTTCCTTGGGCCTTATGTATGGTGTGCCTATCTCTGACTGTGTGCTGGCTCTTCCCCTTAAAAAGTTATTCCTGGGGGTTTCCCAGAGCATAGGGTGAAGGTGTCTTCTTCCCAGAAAGGATTTGTTTTGGCTTCTCTCAAACGCCAGTACCAACAGGAGACTGGCTTAATCCAGGTTAGCAGCTTGAGGTTCCATGGCCCAGCCAGACTGGGCACTTGGCTACAAATCCAGATGAGCACTGGAGCTGTTGCCGTAGCTTCTCTTTTCCTTTGCTGCTTAGTGCCCGGGCACGCTTCCTTGGGAACTCATGGGAGTTAGAGTGGAAGGTTTGATTTGAATTCTCCTTTACCCTGACAGGATGGTAATTTAAAGTCCCTTCTCCATGTGAGGCAGGTCCTCTAAGACTACCCCCTTGTTCTGGACCTTTCTTATCCAGCCAAACCAAAGTCCTGACATTGGCAATGCTTTTTGTCTTATCTAGCATCTTTAGTTGTTTTTGGCAGAAAGATTTCTCTGAATAACTTAGCCCACAGTTACCAGAATGCCAAAGATTCTTTACCCCATGTCTCCCCTCAGCTGTCCCCCGTATTTGAGGAGCTGAGTCCTGCCCTGGAAGCTGTGCTGGCACAGGGTCACCCAGGGGTAGTCGTTGCCCTGGTGGGAGCCTGCCGCAGAGTTGGAACCCACCAAGCCCAGGTTCTGCAGCTGTTGTTAGAGGTGAGTGGGTGTTACTTGCAACCCGTTTATGCCCTTGGTTCAAATTCTGTCTCTTAAGACTTATCGAATCTTTAGTCATTGTATCTCTGGCCCCAAGAGATTTAATGCTAAGGGAATTCATAGATAACAAGGGGAAATGAAGCCAAAGCCATCTCATAGCCCTAGAATGAAAAATTGTCTCCCGGAACAAAGAGAGAAGTTTATTGAAGGAATAAATATTTATTGACCCCTGTTATATGTATAGAGGCTGGGGATACAGCAGGGCAGACGAGATCCTGTCCTCATGCAGCTTATATTCTTGTGAAGTTAAGGCATTCTCACCACTCCTGAATGCTTTCCCTAGTCTAGAAATTCAGCGTTAAAATTGGTTCTCAGATTCATTATGTTTTGTCTTCTCATCTAGGCATTCCACTGTGCAGAGCCCTCTTCCCGGCAAGTGGCCTGTGTGCCTCTCTTTGCCACTTTGATGGCTTATGAGGTGTACTATGGACTGGTGGAGGAGGAGGGGGCAGTGCCTGCGGACCACCAGGTGAGGTAGGGGAAAGGCCAAACCAGTGACTGATTCGGGACCAGGTCTCCCGGGGCTTAGGAAGCCTCTCACCACGGAGGTGAAGGTGGTGAGATCTCTGGCTTCATCCAAGTGGAGGTGGCATTTTGGTGGCTACCTCCTGATTTCCTATCCCTGTCTTCAGGTTGAAATGGGCGCAGCCAGGGCCCTGGGAGAAGTGACAGTCCTCGGATCTCTACTGCTCCAGCATCTGCTGCACTTCTCCACTCCTGGCCTTATACTTCGAAGTCTGGGTGCCTTGACGGGACCACAACTTCTGACTCTGGCCCAAAGTCCTGCTGGTTCCCATGTGCTTGATGCCGTCCTGACCAGCCCTTCTGTGACGCGCAAGCAGCGCCGCCGTGTGCTCAAGACCCTAAAGGTTAGACTCTGGCTTCTGCTTTGATTCCTCTGCCATTATCTATTTAGAGAACATGAGCTTCCCCCAGACTGTCTTTCCTAGACTCTTTTGACTCAGTCTTTAAATGGAAACTCCATTCCCTCCTGCCCTCCCCAGCACATTTTCAAGAACTGCCCTAGAGGGACCTACCTTGTCTGTCTCAATGCAGGGACAGTATGTGGCTCTGGCTTGCAGTCGCCATGGCAGCCGTGTGTTAGATGCCATCTGGAATGGAGCAGCCTTGGGGGCCCGGAAGGAAATTGCTGCTGAGCTGGGTGAGTACCAGCAGGTCTCTCGGACCTCCAAACTTCCCTTTCCTTACTCCAAATAGCCGGGTGGCTGGGGGATGGATTTAAATTCAGCAGAGACTTCAGTTGCAAAGGGTGACTTGGCCATGGTGCTTAGCAGTCTGCTCTCCCCTTCCCTCTGTTGATTGTGCAGTTCTGTGTTCTTACCCCTCCTCCCAGTTTGTTCTTTGGAGAATGAGGGGTTAACTCTATCTCAAGTCAGACCCAGGGTCCAGGTAAAATGGAGAGACCTTCACCCCAAGTAGAGTCTCTTCAAGCATAGGTGGTGACTGCATGCTGATACTGAACATGAATGGTTCCCTTTGCAGGAGAGCGGAACCAAGAGCTGATAAAAGACCCTTTTGGCCACCATGTGGCTCGAAATGTGGCCCTGACTACCTTCCTGAAGCGTCGAGAAGCTTGGGAACAGCAACAGGGGGCAGTGGCCAAGCGGAGGCGGGTTTTGAACTCAATTCTTGAAGACTGAGGCCTTGAGATCTGGGACTGGGTGTTGATGGGGGAGGAGGAAAGGGAGTATCTGTCCTGTCCCCTTACTAATTTAAATCGAAGTCATTGAAGTCAAAAGTCTTATTGGTAAACATTTTTATATTTGTATTGGAAATGTCTTTGTTATTCTTGGGGGGGAAGGGTATGGAGAAATAGAGATCTCAAGGTAAAGTTTAAGAGGGCTGTCTTCAGCGCGCTGGGGAGCTCAGGGAAAGGAGGAGTTGTCAGAACTCTAGAGGCAGCAGCAATCAGAGTGCTGTCAAGATGCCTGGGGCAAGGTTGTGGCTTTCAGGGTAGGTGGGAGGCTGAAAAGATGGCTAAGAAGGGACAGCATTCTTCAGGAATGGGTATAGGCTAGGGGTGTAAGGCACTATGCTGATGGGGTCAGAGGGCAGTGGGAAAACCAGGTGAGTTATCTAGTCTGCACTATCTGCGGGTCCCTAAGCGGGATGTCGTCACAGTCCCTACAGCCATCTCTAGGGGCAGAAGCTCCGAGCCCCTTCTCAGTAGGGATGAAGGTGACCCTGCTGCTGCCACTGTGTAGCCCCTTCCACTACATGGCGAAGGGTAGAGGAAATTCCCAGCAGCATATGGCCCAGGCCTTGCAGCAGTGTGGAGGTCCATCGGAGGAACTCCCTGAAGGGCAGAGACAAGAGGCAGTCAGATGGCCAGGAGGAAGCCATAGAGCTGGTGGGGAGGGGGAGGGTTGGGGGCTCTCCATAATTGAGAGCTAATGGGTTAGGTGAGTGCAGGAGAAGGAATTATGGGACTGAAACTATGGGGATGGAGAAGTAAAACATTTTGGTGTCTGACCTGAGTATTTTCTTTGGGCCGAGTCCTTGAATGTCACAACTCATGGAGTAGAGCCCATAGAATGTGGCTTTGACGTTCAGGCTCCCAAAGAGGTCTCGAGGGTTTTGCTTGTACACGTCAAAGGTGATGCGGGCAATGTCCTTGCTGTGCTTGGGCTTCTCCCGGCCCAGGCCATAGGACAGCATCCCACTCTGTAGAACACCCCCATGAGTGCAATGGTCCCTCACATCCACCATCAATCCCCATCAGTAGTGGGACAGACCCACCCTTGCCTGGACTGTTAGTCCACCATAAGGTGTCCTTAAAAACTCCTTACCTCTCATCACTCCTGCCCTCAAGATGAGGGTTAGGCAGGAGGAGAGGCCTGGGAGAGAGAGAAAGGATTGGTGGCCTATAGCAGCCCAGTACAGGCCTCACCCTGCTGGAACTCCAGCTCTGCCCAGACTCCAGCACCATCAGGCATGTGTCATCTTCCAACAGCTGGAAGAAGTCTTCGCTCTCCACGGCAGTCCCATCCTCCTCTAGCACCAGGGTTAGCACTCCGCTCAGCAGCAGGGTCTCCAGTGCCTGCCCAGTGGCAAGAAGCAGGAGAGAAATGGCAGAGCTTGTCTCATGCCTTCCCTCTCCAGCTGCCCAGCATCCACTGGTTGGCTCAGGACACTGGTTGATATCCCAACTCTATTTCCTGGTGTTTTGCCATCCCTTCAAACAGCTCCAGCTCTCAGTGTTCTTTCACTGGGGGACCCTCACTAGGAGCTGACCTTTTTTCCTATTTGCTCCTACCATGTCATTGTTATTTCCCCCTGCTTCCCTCCAAGCCACTCCCGATTAGGAATTGGAAAGCTAGCCAGGCTCCCTTGAAGTCCATCCTTTGGGAATGGGCATAAGGCATTATGCTGATGGGGCCTGATGCAATGGAATCTTATCCCCCACCTCGCTCCTCTACTCCCTACATAGAGTTCTCCAGTGCCATTTTCAGTAATAATGACAATCTTCTTGTCTTTACTAGTGCCAGGTAGCACTTTACATACACTATCCTTTTTTATTTTCTTCAACAATCCAAGGAGGTGTATTATTACTCCCTTTTTATAGATGAAGAAATTGACATTTTGACTTCTCCCCAACCAGAGGGTAAACAGCTTAAATCACCCTACTTAAGGAGACAAATTCAATTAGTGCCATTTGCCAACCACACCCAAGGGCAGATGAAGTTAAGAGAATAAATCTCAATTTGGTAGATCAACATAAAGCTGATGAATATTCTATTGAGATCTGCCCCTAAGATCTCCCCTAAACTCCAACCTTTAAAAACCCCTCAAAAATGAAGGCACCAATGGGTGCTCTCCCTCTCAGGAGCACTGTGGTGCCTCCCCCCCCTCCCCCCCACACACTTTCCTAACAGTCATGCATCTCCTAAACTCTAAGGGACCCTACCAGGCTTGCAAACAGGGCAGCAATGGGCAGTGGCAATTCATCCCAGGCAACCCCCTGAACCTGTCCCCAAGGCCCCCTTTTCTCTGACTTCTTAGTGAGCCAAAGCAGACCAGCCTAGGCTCATTTCCCCAAGCCTTTCTTATTTCACATCCCCAGCTTTAATAAATATCCTCTAAAATTCAGAAAAGAAAGAAATTGACATTTTTATAGGTTAAATAACTTCCTAAGGTTTGACAAAAGGAGGTGACAGAATCAGGATTAGAACTTGATTTGTCACACAAATTGCCACTCCACACTGTCTTCTAAATCCTATCCCTCCAACCCTTCCCACTCCTTCCCCTATCCCCAAAGAAAAGCCAACTCCTTGGGGGGAAAATAGATGGACCCAAATGCAGCAGAGATCACTGGGCTCACCCCCCTGCTTTAGTCTTCAGAGGGAGGGGTGCATAACCTCAGCCCTTCCTGCTGGTCATTCCAAGTTCTCACTCTTTTTGAGCCCCTTGGCTGCCCCTCGGACAGGAACCCAGGGACTTGGCTCACTCACCTTGTCTAGCAGTTCCTGGCGGGTGGCAGCTGTCAGACCTTTCCGCACGGTCCGTTTGTGATCACAGACGCGGAAAGGTCGCTGGGGTGGTGGAGGTGAAGTCCAGACCCTACGGCCAAACTCAGAGCTCATATTGGATACTGATCTGGTAGTTGGAAAAAAAGGTCAAGGAGTGAGGGGTTTGCTGAGTGTAATGGGGATGATGGGGGTGGGGTGGCTGGAGAGTTAGAGAGGGAGGTATTTAGGTTTTTGGATTAGGGTAGCCGAGGGAGAGAGGGAGGGACCATGGAGTGGAGGTGGGTGGTAGAAGCTGGACAAGCCCACTGTGGAAAGTGGAGTGGAGAGGGGAAGGGGTACAGATTCATGAGTTTCCAAGGGGCTGAGTGGAGATTTGTTTCCCTGCCGCTATCCCCAGAGTTAGAGAGTGGAGAGGAAGATCAGTAATCACCTGACCAGGCTGCTGGGTTTCAGGGCAGAAAGGTACTCCATGGTGTAGGGAAAGAGCAGAAGAATTCTGAGCTGGGTTGTTCTCCGCTGTGCTGGGCTGAAGTGATGTTTACTGTTACAGAGCTGGGACCTCAGCCCCAGTGAGGTGGAGGATGAGTCAAGCCGGACTCTGGCCCCCTGGAGGGCCTGTAGGAAGGGCAAAGTCCCAGGGGAGGGAGGAGAGGAGGGGCCTAGATGGGGTCCTGGAAGAAGGATTAAGGCCCAGAGTTGCCAGGCAGAAGCCAGGGAAGCTTTGTGTGGGTGTTGTCTCTGGTGGCAGCTTGTGATGTGAGGGTTAATGGTAACTATGTAAGAGGATGGCGATTTTCTTTGTATGGAGGGAATTTCTAGGTATAGAAGCCACAGTATGTGACTTGTGCTGCACATACTGCCACCTACTGAAAAATCCATAAACTGCCGCATTAGGAAAAGGGAGGCGGGGCTGAGGGTGAGATCATGGGCAGGGCTTGGAGAAATGGGAGGTGAGGCAGTGTGTCTGGGTGGGGCGTAGAAGAGGATGGGTCCTGATCCAGGGACCGCCAGGATCCCGTGGCAAGGAACTTCTTGCTTTCCTGCTCTTTCCTTCGTGGTCTAGGGGAGCAGCTGGCTCAACATTTCCCTGATTTAATTCTGCAGAACTGCCTGCTTCAGCCACTCTGCATTTCTCACTTTTCTCCTTTGGCCACTTAATAGGCATGAAGGAGATGTGAAGGGGGAAGGGGGAGTGTCCTCTGATGGCATCAGGAATTTAGCTTCCGGTGCTCCATGTCCCATCCCTGATTTCAGCTGCAGTTGTGCTGGACAGTTGTGTGGAAGCTCAGACTCTCACTGACAATGAACTCACTTGAATGCAAGTCTCTGCTTTCCTGCCCAGAAGTCTCGTTTGCAGCTTTGGCAGCTAGTCTGCCCCCTGGCAAGTGCAGGCTACAAGTGTGTACAGGAGCGTCAATGCCTCCTCGTTCTCATTCTGTGCACTTCTTAGACATTCCTGATGCCTACTGAAGGAGCGCAATAACGCTCTTTTTTTTTTTTTAATATATTTTATTGATTTTTTACAGATAGGAAGGGAGAGAGATAGAGAGTTAGAAACATCGATGAGAGAGAAACATCGATCAGCTGCCTCCTGCACATCTCCTACTGGGGATGTGCCCGCAACCCAGGTACATGCCCTCGACCGGAATCGAACCTGGGACCTTTCAGTCTGCACTTCTTAGACATTCCTGATGCCTACTGAAGGAGCGCAATAACGCTCTTATTGGCTTTCCTCTTCCCTCTCTTCTCTCACTCCTGCTTCCCAAGCTGTACTGCTGTGTCTATGGGTTTGTTTGTTGCTTCCTGTTTTATATCCGACATATGAGTGAAATCATATGGTTCTTGTCCTTTTCCATCTGACTTTCTTCCACTCTTCTTCTGGGACTTCGGTTACACTTCTGTTTGATCTCTAATATTATTCCACAGGTCTCTGAAGTTCTGTTCAGTTATATTTAATGAGTACAGGATTACCTGTATCATGCCCTTAACTCAGACTCTGCTTTGGAGGGAACCCAAATGGAGACAGTACTGGTGTCCTGGCTCCCAAGGAACCCCCAGTTCTGGCTGTTGACTGAGGGATCAACTTTATCAGTGAACTAGGTCCCCTCAAATTTCTTCGTTTCCAAGTTTTGCCGGACTTCTCCACCAGAGAAGGCTTCTTTTTAGCCTGTCTCTACCACTGCAACCTTTCCCTTTTTCTTGTCTTGTATCCTGATGCAGCCTAGTAATGTGGTCTCTTCATGGTTGTGTGCTGTAACTCCTCAGCCAGGTCAGATGCCCCTTACACCTCCATGCATTCCCCCAGACCCCACAGGACTTGGCACCATGCTTTACCCTGAAAGCGGTCATTGACAGCCCAGTGAGAGCCCTGAGGGTGGAATGACTGGGGCAGGGCCCACGGCAAGAGGCAAGAGGGGTAGGTAGGAGCTGAGGGAAAAGGTGGCTCAGCAGGGTCAGGAGTCTGGAAACAGGCAAAGAAAGAGCAGCAGGGAAAGTGAGTAGTTTGGGTCACCTTCCCTGCTGGGTGCAGACCAAGGAGGCCAGAAAGCATCAGGCTGCAGGGTTAGGAGGGTTGGGACCAGAGCTGGGGGAGGGATCAGCACAGAAGCAGGACCCAGGGTCAGGATTCAGCAGTGTCCCTACTTACCCACCTACACAACCAGGGAACCTTATCTGCACCCCTTCAGCTTCTCCTGTTTCCTGGGAGGCAGGACCTCACATGCCCGGACGAGTTAGTGATGGGAAGGAATATGGTGAGGGAGGGGCCCCGGGAAAGGCCCCACCTTGCCCCTCCCCATTCTCGCCTCACCCTCTGCAAATCTGACAGGCACGGGACAGGAGTAGGCACCAAGACCTTTGCTGCTTTGCCTTGCAGCCTCCCTAGGCCCCTTGCGGGCCCCCCACCCTGCTAGCTCGCAGCTGGGTAAGTAGATCTGCCCAAGTGCCCTTACTCACCACCTCTCACGTTTGCCCTGAGGTAGAGGGAAGGGGCTGGACAAAGAAGGGTCGAGGAGTGGAGGTGGAGGTGGTGACAGCCTGGGAGTCAGGACTGGGGAGCTCAGCTGACTGAGAGCAGGGGACCTGGGTTCCAAGAAGTAGTGTTTGAGTTGGGGCTGGGGTCCCAGAGGAAGCCAAGGCTCCCAGACAGAAGAGAGGCAGGCTTCAGGGAAGCGAGGGAGGCACCTTTCCTTCTCACCTGGCCTCAGGGGTAACGTTGGCTTTTGTCCCAGCCCCTGAATGCGCCCCATGGCCCTTTCCAGCCCCCTGTAGGTACAGAAGGATGACAGACTGCTACCGCCCCCCAGGGAACGAGACGCTGCTGAGCTCTCCGGCCTCACGGGCCACAGGCACGGCCTTCCTGCTGCTGGCGGCGCTGCTGGGGCTGCCCGGCAATGGTTTCGTGGTGTGGAGCTTGGCGGGCTGGCGGCCGGCGCGGGGGCGGCCGCTGGCGGCCACTCTCGTGCTGCACCTGGCGCTGGCCGACGGCGCCGTGCTGCTGCTCACGCCGCTCTTTGTGGCCTTCCTGGTGAGGCAGGCGTGGCCGCTGGGCCAGCTGGGCTGCAAGGCCGTGTACTACGTGTGCGCGCTCAGCATGTACGCCAGCGTCCTGTTCACCAGCCTGCTCAGCCTGCAGCGCTGCCTCGCCGTCACCCGCCCTTTCCTGGCGCCCCGGCTGCGCAGCCCGGTCCTGGCCCGCCGCCTGCTGCTTGCCGTCTGGCTGGCCGCCCTGTTGCTCGCCGTCCCGGCCGCCGTCTACCGCCACCTCTGGGGGGACAGCCTGTGCCAGCTGTGCCACCCGTCGCGGGCCCACGCTGCCGTCCACCTGAGCCTGGAGACTCTGACCGCTTTCGTGCTGCCCTTCGGGCTGGTGCTCGGCTGCTACAGCGTGACGCTGGCGCGGCTGCGGGGCGCCCGCTGGGGCTCCGGACGGCAGGGCACGCGGGTGGGCCGGCTGGTGAGCGCCATCGTGCTGGCCTTCGGCTTGCTCTGGGCCCCCTACCACATGGTCAACATTGTGCAGGCGATGGCCGCGATGGCGCCACCCGAAGGGGCCCTGGCGAAGCAGGGCGGTGCAAGCCAGGCAGCGCGAGCCGGAACCACGGCTCTGGCCTTCTTCAGCTCCAGCGTCAACCCAGTGCTCTACCTCTTCACCGCGGGGGATCTGCTGCCCCGCGCGGGTCCCCGCTTCCTCACGCGGCTGTTTGAGGGCTCTGGGGAGGCCCGAGGAGGCGGCCGCTCCAGGGAGGGGACCATGGAGCTCCGAACTACCCCTCGGCTCAGAGTGGTGGGGCTGGGCCTGGGCAACGGAGACCCGGGGGGCGGGGCGGCCAAGGACAGTCAGGAATGGGGCCCTTGACACCAAATCCTGCTCTTCCCTGTCCCCTTCCATCACCCCTCAGAACTCAGAGAGCACTCGGGAGCGTTTGGGCAGCCTCTGACCAGTTGGATCTGTGGGGGCAGAATTATGCACCTGGGGCAGGCCCAGGTTCCTCCAAACTGAGGGATTGCCAGGGGTGATGGTTCATGCTAATGAACATTGTGCACTTGCAGGTTGGCATGTGCCATGTGCCAGAGCTGTTAATTTGTTGCCAATAATCATTGTGAAAGACCCTGTGCAGCCGTTACACCATGGCTTAAGTGTGCGCTCCCGAGGGTCAGCATGCCTGAGGTGTACTGAAGCCACCTGGTTCCCCTGGGGTCAGGCCACGGCTGGGCAGCGGCAGCCTTCAGTGGCATCTTGAGCCGTCCTCCCCAGCTCGGGTGGCCTACTTCCCTCAGGACATACAACCACTCTGTAAATCAAGGGAGAAAGAGGAAAGAAAGGTATGGGTGCTTGGGTGTGGGGTGCGGATGGGATCCGTTCTCTGGGGTCTATAAGAGCCAAGAAGGGGGTGGGGGTGGGGAGACTGGCCCTGGAAGGTGAAAGTCAATCTGTGGGTTGAAAAGGAGAGTTTTCCTCTCTGCCCTGTGGTTGGTGCAGCGGGGGAGGGGCCCTGGGAGTCTGAGACTTAGCTTCCTCTTTGAATCCCCTCCCCCCCCCGCCCCCCCCCTAAAGGTCCCCTGACTCAAAAGGAGCCCAGGAGCAGGCACTCACTTAGCCAGAGGACGTTTGGGGCTTGGAGATGAGGGAGTATGAGGAAGAGTGTGGGTGTCTGGAGGACAGGAAGAATTTTTCAGGGAGGCACCACCTCTCCTTTCTCCTTTTTCTCTCTGCCAAATCTTGACTCCTCCTGACTGCTAGCTGTTCCTCATCTGTCCCTCCCCCCCCCCCCCCGATATTTCCCAGATCCCGTCTTTTGGAATTTCTTTACCTCTAGGCCTCAAAACTTTTCTGGATCCTGATACTTTTGAGTTTGGGGTGCAGGATGGAATTCTTTTTAGGGGACATCCACGTGCACACCCATGTGGTTACTAGGGTGACCAACTCGCGGTTTTAGCAGTGGAAGCCTTTTATCCCAGTCTCCTAAGTCCCTGGCAAACCAAGACGGTTGTTAAGTTCTGGTCAACCTGACTGTTACCCCATGTTCTGCCTTAGTGACTGTTCACACCACCCAGGTAGATGCAGACATAGCAAAGGAAACCCAGTCCTCAGGGTCACGCCAGGGCCACCAAAACGGGTTGGGTTGGGGTTGGAGCTCTGGACTTGGGGGCCAGGTATGCTTAGAGTGTCTAGTCTAGGGTGGAAGAAGGAAGGTCACTGACAGAATGGAAATGGGGAGCAGCTTGGGAGAGGAGGCAAAGACAGTCCAGTTTGTGTCAGAAGGATCCTCTGATTGGCCCCAGAGCTTCTTGCAGAGGCTTCCTCTTGCCCTCACGCATGGGGGAAGAGGGTCCCTAACTTCCTCTGTTACATATTTCCCGACTCACACACCCTCTGTGGTCAGAAAGCCCTTCCTCCACTCTCCCCACTTGCTGTGGTTTCAGTCCATTTCTTTTCGTCATATCCTCCGCCTGACAGCTACTGGGTGAACTCTGCTCTGGCTTTTCTCAAAGCAGACAAAGTGGGGGCACTGCAAAGGGTGAGGAAGTTCCGTGACCACTATTACACTCCGCACATTTCCTGAGAGTGACAGAGTTGGAAGGGAAGCAGAAAGGCTCATGGTCAGATCGAAGGAAAGACTTTTCAGTTCTTAGCTCCTGCAGGAGAGTTCAAGAAGAGGAGAAAAGGGAAGAGGGACCCTTGCCATGGCCCTGGTTTCCCCTCTTGGCAGGGCAGGCATGAAGCACCTTCTCCCTCACTCCCTCATGCCTGTTCCCTATGCTCAGCCTCTACTTCTATATGGTGGGACTGGACAGTTGGCTGTGGGGAGGTAGGAAAAAGGCAGTGCTGACCTTGCCCAGTGCCCAGATTTTAAATCCAAACTCATGTGTCAGGGTAGCCACATGGGCAAGCACAAGGCAAATGGTTGGGGGAAGGGGAAGAAACTGGCATTCTGTGTGATACTAAGGAGACCCTTTGGGCTTTGGCTTCTACCAAGAGAAGGGAAAATTGATTGCCCTAGAATGGAACCAACCCTTTTCAGTGAAGGGAGCGATTGGGGTGCTGGAAGAGGGACTTCTCCCTCCAATTCCACTCATGGCTTGAACCCAAGCCAAGAACAAGGTGCTGACCTCTTTAAGTCATGATGTTACAACCCAAACCTGGAACCTAACCACAGCTGTAACCTACATTTCCTATTACTCTAAAAATCTACTTGTTCATACAAATTACTGTATAAATATACTCAACATTCTGCCATCCCAATCCAAGCCAAATCCCCTTTCTGGCTTCCCTCCCTCCTCCTCCTATATGACACACGTTATTATTCTGTTCAATGATCCAGTCTAGACCTGCATATGAGGCCACACCCCAGCCTACTCACTCCTGTACCCCTCTTTCCCCTCTCCCTTCCCATTCTTGGGCGCTTCTCATCTGGTCCCACCCCTGAGGGTTCTCCTTCCTACTGGCCTTTTCTAGAATACAAAGACTATCCTCCCTCCTACTGAAGGGAAGGGAGGGGGCAGGAGTTTCAGCCCCACCCTCAGGAAGATGTGTCTTCCCCCTGCCCTGTGGTACTTCCTCTCCGGCTGACTTAGCTGACAGCATCCAGACCTGGGTCCAGACCCCTGGCACCGAGACAGATCTGGGGATAGGCTACACCACTCTGCCCTGATCCTGGGATTGGCGCCAGCTTCCAACCAGTACCCAGCAAAGCCAGTAAGTAAGGACCCTGGGAGTAGGGGATTTGGTGGAGGGCTGGGGTGCAGCCATGAGAGAAGGTACAAAGGAATTTCCAAAAGAGCCTGACCAGTGGTAAAAGGACTTGGGAGGATTTGTCCTTCTCTCCTCTCCATGAACTCCTGCCCATCCCTGTTATTCCTGGTGGACCCTGGGCATCTCTGGGAGAGTGGGTAGGGGATTGGAGGACACCAGTGGGACTGAGGGGACTAAGGACTTGGCAAGGGACAGAGCAGTTAGCCTTTTAAGGGGTGCAGCACTGAGAAGGAAATCTCCCCAGTTTGGCACTGAATCTGAGGGTCTCCTAAGGGAAAGAGGCAGAAAGGGTCCAGACATGCTACTGCTGCTGTTGCTTTGTATTTTGCAATTGGGTCTGTGGGCAGGAAGGAGCTCTGTGGCTCAGTTAGGCAATTTGTCTTTCTACTCAGCCAGATCCCTTAAGATAGGTTAGTGGGCAGTGATGAGGACAGTATATTGTGAAGGTGCACCTGATGCTGCTGATTTAGAGAAAGACTTGAACTCGGGCTAGGTGTGTCCAGGGTGTCAGAAAACCCGTGGATCCCTACCCTCATGCACATGTCCACCTCACCCTCCAGATCCTTGCAATGGCCACGAACACTACATCTCCTGCAGGACCCACCTCCCTAGGTGTCATGGCTATCACCCTACTGTCATTGGCTCTGGCGGTGGGGGTCCCTGGCAACAGTTTTGTGGTGTGGAGCATCCTGGTAAAGATGCGAAAGCGCTCTGTCACTGCCCTGCTGGTGCTGAACTTAGCCCTGGCTGACCTGGCCGTCTTGCTCACTGCCCCCTTTTTCCTCCACTCCGTGGCCCGAGGCACCTGGATTTTTGGAGTGACTGGCTGCCGCCTGTTCCACTATGTCTGCGGAGTCAGCATGTATGCCAGCGTCCTGCTGATCACGGCCATGAGTCTGGACCGCTCGCTGGCGGTGGCCCGCCCCTTTGTGTCCCAGAAGCTGCGCACCAAGGCGGTTGCCAGGTGGTTGCTGGCAATCATCTGGGCGGCGTCGGTCCTGCTGGCCACGCCCGTCATCGTATACCGCACCGTGGCACCTTACCCGAACAACAGGAGCCTAATCTGCTTCCCGAAATACGACACGGAAAGACACCGGGCCTTCCACCTGCTCTTCGAGGCCCTCACCGGCTTCCTGCTGCCTTTCCTGGCCGTGGTGGCCAGCTACTCCGACATCGGGCGCAGGCTGCGGGCCCGGCGCTTCCGCCGCAGCCGCCGCACCGGCCGCCTGGTGGTGCTCATCATCCTGACCTTCGCGGCTTTCTGGCTGCCCTACCACATGGTGAACCTGGCCGAGGCCGGCCGCGCGCTGGCGGGCAAGGTCGCGGGGAAGGGGCCCGTGGGGTCGCGGCTGCTCCTGGCCCGCCGTGTGCTCATCGCGCTGGCCTTCCTGAGCAGCAGCGTGAACCCCGTGCTGTACGCGTGCGCCGGAGGCGGCCTGCTGCGCTTGGCCGGCGTGGGCTTCATCGCCAAGCTGTTGGAAGGCACCGGCTCCCGAGATGTCCAGTACCCGACGCGGGGGCACCCTGGGCCAGACGGTGAGGGGCGCCCCCGCCCCCAATGAGCCTGGCCCGGCCGAGAGCCTCACTGCCTCCACCAACCCTCTCGAGTGAAGCAGGCCCGGGGGAGGGGTGGTGGTGGTGGAAGGACACTTGCTTTCCTCCTGGCGGAATGCCCCACGCTGGCCTGACCCAATTCTGCACCTCCAGGAGAAGGCGTGTCGGGGTGGAGCGGAAGAAGAGGGAGGGGAGGGGCAAGTAGGGGCAGAGTCAGCGCCTGGGCAGCTTTGCAATTAAAACCGAAGTCTGAAATTGGGTTAACCCTGTGTGTGGGACATGTGTATTATGGGGGATAGGTGTCTTTCTGGGGGTCGGTCTCGATAGTGGAGAGGCACATCTTTTAGTTTCCCATGATTTTCAATTTTGAAAGGGACACGAAGACAGATAGACATTACCCTCCTCCACCACCACTTCCCCCGTGGCTTGCAGATCACACTTAGAACAACACAGGTTTGCAGACTCCTGAAAGAGCTGACCAGGGAAGACCACCCATGTGGACTCACCACTCCAGACTTCGATTCAGCCTACTTTCTGAGAAAATTCAGCACTGCCTGTACTCTGACACTAGTGATAGCTATCTTTGTTAGCATGACTCCAACTTCCTGCTTACTAACCTTCATCCTCTCAGTGGTAGGTATTCAAGGGGATTGCCTTCCTTCCCTCCAAGTCCCAAGAAGGCCTCACTTGAGAAACCAAGTCAGCAGATCTTATCTCCTAGATTTCACATCAGCATTTCACTGGTCCCCAAAACACACTCTGGCACAGGGTGGGGCTGAGGGTACTCTGTGACTGTGGTCACCCTTAGGAAATGAAGATGCCCCAAAATGAAAGGGATGAGTCATTCTTTTCTAGGGATAAATGTTGTCTTAGAGCCTCTATTCTGATAGCATTTTAGGAAGATGGTAGCAGCAGTGGTAGTGGTGTACTTTTTAAATCTTTCCCATAAAAAAAACACCACCCCACACACAAAAAGAAAGAGCAATTAGGAAAAATATAAAAAATCCATGTGCAACATCTGCAACAAAGCCTCATGGACCCCAAAATATGAGCAGTTGGGAATGAACCATTGATGCTTCAAGACCCACATAATATCAGCAGAAAGGAGCAAGGGGGCATCTAAGGGGCCTGAGAACAGGAGAACCCCAAACTGTCTACAAATCCTCACTGGAAAGCATCGTGGGTCAATTTTAGAACAGCAGCTGACATTGGGAGAGACCTAATAGATTATTTCCAAGTCCTCTTACCCATCCTGCATAGTAAACACATCATAAAAAGTGTCTGTTTAGTGTTGAATGAATAAAGGTCAAATGACATTTTCCCTGGAGATTCCTTCCAATATTTGTGGGTGGAGAGCAGGAAAAGACAAATCCTTGTGTTGAGTTATGTGGCTAAAATTCTTCATACTTCCAAGGTTTATAAAATACTGGAATCAGGTTGGCAGGCAGGCAGGGAGGCTGAGGCAGTTCTCTTCCCGAACTTGTGAAAAGAAACACACCCTCCATACATTCATGCTCATGCTTGCACACACACACACACTCACTTCAGCCTGGGAAAAAGCAGTCCTGCTGAGAAGTAAGGAGGTGATCCCAGAAGCCATATCAGCAGCTTCTGGCATAAATTGGCTCCAGTCATACCAGTCTCTTTATCGAGGACTTTTGAGGTGAAGAGTAGGGAGTGGGGTCTCAGCCTAGGGCAGCTGAGGGAGGTCCAACTCTTATCAAATCTGTGTTGAGGAAGTAGGTACACAGCTGCCCTTTGCCTTTGACCTTGATAACACCCCTGCTGTAGCAGGTGTAGCCTAAGGACTGCAGGGCCCGGGCTGTTTCCTCAGTCACCTGCAATTGGAGGAAGGTGAGGGAGTATGGAGATGGCCCCAACCTTAACCACTGCCCCCATGACTCCAATGTGGCTCCCTCACTTGTATCTTGCCCAGGACTCCTGTACTCTCCATGCGACTGGCCACATTCACCGTGTTGCCCCAGATGTCATATTGTGGTTTCTGGGCTCCTATCACTCCGGCCACTACAGGTCCATGGTTTAGCCCTGACAAGAGACAAAGATGGGGGAGATATGGGGAGGGATAGGGGAAGAAAGAGCTTAAGGAACTAGGGAGAAGGGCCTGGGGGCCTTAGAAGAAAGGAGTGCGGGGCTGGAGGAGGGCTTAGGGAAGGGAGTGGGAGCGCCTCATAGCTCCTGGCCCAGCAGCTTCATGCTCCATCTCAAAAGGTGAGTCTGGAGGGAGGTCCAGGGCTGACCGGGAAAGCAGCTTACCAAAAATTTGGGGGAGGGAGAGCTTGGGAAGATGTGGAGGAGGTCCCAGACTGACCCAGCAAGGGAAGGCCCTTACCCACACGCAAGCGGAAGTTGTTGAATGAGTGCTTGTTGATAACGTCCAGCTTAGACCCAAGGGCCACTGCAAATTCCACCATGGTGCCGAGGTGGCTGCAGCTTCGCTCAGCATCCTGGCAATGGGATGGCCACCAGAATGAGCCAATGAGAGCCCAGGATTAAGGCCCATTCACAGACCCACCAATAAGAGCACAGGTGAGGGATGGTAGGTAAGGAAGGAATGCTGTACCTGCTGTGCATCCTGTCCAGAGGTGGCATTTAAGCCTGTAGCTGCCATGTAGGTGCTGCCGATGGTTTTGATCTTCTCCACCCCACTGAACTTGGGCTTAGAGAGCAGCTGTATAGAGAGGAGGCTGTGTCCCCATTCTCTCTTGCTTTCCCACTCCACTCTCCCCAAAGCCCAGCCCCAGGCTAAAGGACCGGTTATGGGATTAGGAATGGTGGCAGGAGGCAGAGTGAACAGAGTTGCTGGAGAAGGCAGAGCTGAGGCATCAGAGGAGGAGTGGGAAGGCTAGAGAGGGCAGAAGGGGCTTATGGCCAGAAGAGCAAAGTAGAAGGATGGACTGGTAGGACACTGTAGAACTCTGGACATAGGATCTGGGGAACCCTCAGAGTTGTCACCTCATCAAAATCAGCAATGATCTCATTGAGCAGCCGCAGACACTCTAGCCCCTCGTGGTTGATGTTGGATTCAGAGTAAAACTCCTTGAAGTCTGGGACTGAGGCGAAGAGGACACAGACACACTCATAGGACTGGTGGTAGAGGTCCTGGGAGGGTGAGAGGCTGGGTGAGGCTGTAGGCCACATTCTTCCCCTTCCTGTCCTGGTGTCCCCATGCCTTCCCCTCTGTGTAAGAAGGATTGGGGAGGAGGGGAAGGAGGAAAGCCAGGTTACCCTAGGGATGTCACTTCTAGAACTGGGATCATGCCAATGGGAATTATCTTTATATCCTTTCTATTGCTGAAAGTTGTTAAGTAAGTTAATCAGCTTATAAAGATCTATAATTTGCAAAATCACATAAATAAATAATAGGGAAAATGAGGCCAAGAGAAAATAAGGGTAAGATTGTAAAGATAGAATCAGATCTGAGGTTGGTTCACTATATGGGTGCCATTTTAGTTCTATATTCTGGCTTTTGAGCTTTCTAGAGCCAATATGAACACAGAAACAGGATCAGTTACAAGATACCCAGATCCTATAACAGAAGAAACAAGAAGTAGAGCTACTTCTGATCTTGAGAGCAGAGAGCAGGTGGTGGGGACATAAGGCTGTGAAATAGTCCCTGAACTGTTTCTTTCAACACCCCTTGATACAGCCAAGAGCATTTCCATAGCATAGGATGGGGTGGTGGTGCTACAAAGAAGGTGGTACAAATATGTGGGTAACCTTCTGATGGTCTGACTGTAGAAAGATATTTGAGGATCTAGAGCAGCATCATCCAATAGAAATTTCTGTGGTGATGGAAATGTTCTGTGTATGTGTTGTCCAATATGGTGGCCACTAGCCACATGCAGCTGTTGAATACACGAAATAAGACCAGTGTGACTGAGGAACTGAATTTTCTCCCTCTCTTTCTCTTTCTCTCTTTTTTAAGATACAGGTTTACTTACAAGACCTGAAAATTATACAGCACACCTGAGGCCACACAGCGAGGTCATGGGTAGAGAGAGAGAAAGAGAGAGACAGTGCCTATGGACCTGGGCCTGGGATTCTGCTTTCAATTGGGGTTAAGAGTGGGAGCCTGGGGTTTCTCAGGCCCACTTTTTAAAAAAATTTGTCAATTACAGTTGACATTCAATATTATTTTATACTAGAGGCCTGGTGCATGGATTCGATCCCTCCCAACTGCCAAACATCAGTTTGTTCTCTACCAGTATATCTATGAGTCTATTTCTGTTTTGCCATTTATTTTGTTCTTTAGATTCTACACATAAGTGAAATCATATATTTGTCTTTCTCTGTCTAACTTATTTCACTTAGCATAATATCCTCTAGGTCCATCCCATGTTGTTGCATTAATTTTCCATTTAGTTAACTTAAATTTAAATGGTCACACATGGCTAATGGCTACCATACTGGATAGTGCAGGTCTAGAGAGATGGGTGGACTGTGTCCTCCACACAACTTCTCATCAACACTTGACAAAGCTTCTGAAGGTATGGTGTGGTCATGAGTTGGAGAAGACACTCTTTCTAAGAACTTGGAATGCAGAGACTCTTTGCTCACCAAGAACAGAGCCTAAGATCTTGTGAAAATGGGAGGTATCTGACAGGGATATGGAGGGGCTTGTGGGGCTGCCTGATCCACTCTGGGGGAGTCCAGAGAGGCTGGGCTAAGGGCCAAGACTTTCATCTGAAATTAGTCCCTATGGTATCTGAGACTCAGGAGTCAGGGGTAGGGAGTCACCTCATTGCGCCGGTTCTGGCCAATAAACTGGGGGGCCACGTGTGCAGGCAGCACGTTCTCCAAGAGCAGCCGAGTCAGATTCTCCATTGTCTCTGTTTCCTCCCGCTCCTGCCTCAGCTTCTTCTTCCACAGGAAATCCAGGCGGCAATAATATTCATTCTGGGAGGGTCACCGGGAGCCATGGGGAGACACAGTGCAGGAGAAACCCCATATTCTGAGTGTTCACCAACCCCCCACCCCCCACCCCCGTCCCCCATCCCCGGACTCCATGATGCCTAAAACCACCCCACCCACAGTTTAAATATCTTTTTATTGATTTCAGAGAGGAAGGGAAGAGGGAGAGAGAGAGATAGAAACATCAATGATGAGAATCCCATTGATTGGCTGCCTCCTGCACACACCCTGCTGGGGATTGAGTGGGCAACCCTGGGCATGTGCCCTGACTGGAATCCAACCGTGGTCTACGGGTTCATAGGTCAATGCTCAACCAGAGCCACACCAGCTAGGCCCACCCCACAGTTTAGAGATAAGGCTTAACATGAAATTAGCCCTGGGGAGACTACCTTGAAACTAGATTCAAACTATGGTGGGAAGAATTCACAGCAAATTTTTTCTTAAGCATGGGCATTCCTAGATTGGTGGTGGGAGGGAGAAGGGAACAGGGAGAAGAAAATTTGAGGGCACTCTCCTTGGGGAGTGAAGAAGAAAGAAAGGGAACAAGAAATTTTACTTAGAAGCTTTCAATGAGTATACCACTGGGACTCAACCCTAAAGACACCAGATTAAGGAAAGTGTAGGAGAGACCAAGTCACAAATATGGGGACCCACACCGCACCCTTCATAGGGAAGAACTGGGTAGCTTACCTGCCGAGCCAAGACAAGGAGTGTGAAGAAGAAGATGAAGAAAGAGATAGCTCCCATCAGTTTGGGCTCCTTCAGCACCCCTGGCCTGAGGAGGCCATGAATCAGGGTTATCTCTTGTCCTGCCCCTTCACGATAGCTTCCCCCTGCCCCTAGTGCCCAAGGAGTCCCCAGCCTCCCTCCTGCTTTGCCCTGGGGGTGGTTGAGGTCAGTGAAGTAAGGACAGTTCTGCCCTGTCCTATCTCACCGGAGCTCCTAGGCACCTCTCTCCAGAGGCCACACTCACCTAGAGTCCAAGGAGCCCAGATAGAGGCGGGCGACGAGGCAGTCGGACAGCCAGGCATGGGAGTGCAGGAAGAGGCAGCAGGAGGCCACCAGCCATAGCAGGAGCAGCAGCAGCTTCAGTTCGAAGCTCATGTGCAGAAAGAGGGAGCAGGAGAGGAAACCCAGCACGCAGCAGTGCATGGAGTACTGTGGGGCCAGGCAGGCTGGTCAGGAGGTGGGGCATGTCCCACAGGCAGGGGTGGGGGGACACCTGAGAGCTTCTGTCCTGCCCCTCCCAGGTCCTGTCTGGGGACAGGGGGTTTCATACATACAAACACACACCAAGTGTGACTTATGTCTGTCCTAATCATAGGATGGAGTGTTTTTCAATTAAGGAGGAGGGTGAGGAGCCAAGGAAAGTTCTGGGGAAGGAGATTCAGGGCTGTTCAGGACACTCACTGGAATACTGATGAGAGGCAGGGACCCAGGGAGCTCCCAGGAGAGGTTGAAAGCCATGGAGGACACATTGCTGGCCCGAAAAGGGCAGTTTGATGCTGCCGGTAAGAAGAACTGCAGAAAGAGATGAGGAGCTGAGGTGATCAGGCAGCTCCTTGGGCACAATGGTGCTTGTGCTGGGTTTCAGCTGATCCAGGGATAAGTCAGGGACAGACTCCAAAGGAGCAGATTCCACTATTTCTGGTTGGTGAGGCCCCTCATTGGTGGGGGGGAGCAGGGATTAGGGGAGTGGGTGTCATGAGCACTAGGCTTCTAGGGATCCACTGTGTGATCTCTTGCCAGTCATGCAACCTCTCTGGGCATGAGCTTCCTCTTCTCGGCTGGGGGATGATTCTTAAGGTGCCTTTCAGGGATAGAATTCTAAGAATGATTCTAAATTCTGAAAAATCAGCCAAACTCCACTACAAAATCATAGTGAGTGAGCTAAGTAATATATATGAAGGATGTCCACCTAAGAGTTAATAATGATGATGCCCAGATAGTAGACCATGAGTGATTGTCATTTGTTTCATTACTTGTCCAACACTTTCAGTATCCCCTGGCCTTAGTCTAGCTGTCCTCCCAAATCCAGGGGTTCCCTTGCAGGTTTGGCATGCCCATCATGCCCTGATGGGGGTGCGTAGGGCCCCCTCTGCCCTCACCAGGCTGGTAATGGCCATGGCGAAGATGAGGAGGATGGTGGCAGTGCCCAGGGCGATTCGCAGTCCAGGCCGTGTGGCCACCAGGCCAGACAATGCGGGCAGCCAGTGCAGCATCTTGGGGCCTTTCAAGACGCACCTCTGTGGAGGGAGCATGGGAGGCTTAGCCATGGGGTGGGAGCAGGTTGTGGTCAGAGCCCCAGTTCTCCACTTCCACCCCACAGCCCACCTCACCGTCAGGTGCTCTGAGAAGCAGACGAAGAGGAGGAGGAAGAAGAGGAGGAAGGTGATGCTATAGGTGATGGCCAGAGCTGGGGGCCTAAAGGGAGACAAGAGTGAGGCCTTGAAGAACCACAATAGGTCCCCTGTGTATGAAAAGGTTACTGTATCATCTGGTTGGAAGACATGGGGAGAAGTGGTTCTGGGGATCTGAACTGGCTGCCAAGGGGGTCTGGGCTGATAACAGGCATTACATGATGATATGAGAAAGCTGAGGGGTCTAGGGCAGTGTTTGGGTGGGACAGGAACTAATAAGATAGGAACAATATTGGAAGGGGGCAGGGGGCTCACAAAAGTGGCTGAGGCTGCATCACACTGGTCTCTGGCCTTCGGGCCAAAGCTCTTTCACCCGGCTGAGTTTTGAACAAGTCCTCGCCCCTCCTAGCAGTGGACTGGGAGTGAGGACCTACTTTCTATGTTTGTTCACTGTGAGATTTGGGCTTCTTAATGGGAAGAAAACCTCCTTCATGGGAATGTTGTTAGAATCAAGAGATAGGCATGTGAACATGCTCGGGTCCACAGGATATAGAAAATCCACAGGATGTACAATAGTAAGTTGGGCTGTGATTATCATGGTTCCCAGAGCACATATTTCCATTTCCTCTGTGGGTTAGTGCCAAGGGGAAGTAGGCAAAAGAAGAAAGTGGGTATCGGGGATCAGAAAGACCAAGAGGGTCCATTTTTTGAGAATCAGGGCTTCCCTTTCTGGGCTCTCTTACCTGTTTGTCACCAGCATCTGGATGATGAAGTTGGAGAGAAAAACCAGGAATGTGCAGGCTGCATAGTATTTAAAGGCAGGGAGTGCAGAGAGTCGATACTGCAAGAGAGGGGGTCAGGGTGGAGACAGGGTCACCAGTGCTGCTCATGACCTTGAAGGTGTCAATCCCAGGCAAGGAGTGGGCCCCCCAGCTTCATGGCCCCACCCTTCAGTTCAGCCCCAGGTATTTGCTATGTGTTCTCCAAGGAGTTGCCCTCCCCTCTCCCATCACCACTCAATAATTCAATCTACAGGGTGACTTTCCTTTCAGAGAGAGGCACATGCCCTCCATCACCCCAGAATCCCAAACTGAGCAGACCTGGGGAGGAGAGATGGGACCACAGGCCATTCTCTAATGCTCTCCCCCCGACCTGCGCAGCCTACCTCTTTCTCCATTTCCTTCTCTCGGAAGTAAAGTGTCAGTGGGTTGAAGTCCTTTGACTGCTTCCACTGTCTGGGGGCAGTAAGACCCAGAGAGGAAAGAGCAGGACAGGAGAGAATGGTCAGGTGGGTCTTTCTTAAGGCTGGATCAGGAAAGGTGCTCCCTTCCCTCCAGGTCATCAAGGGAACACCACCCCTACCCTACCACGTGAGCCCGAGACCTGCAGCCCTCCCAGCCCTCTTTTTTTCCCCCCCATACTTCTGAGAGTTGAGCTGTTCGATGACCTGGAAGAACTTGGCATCCCCAGTGTCCATTTCATCATCTAGTCCCCGGGGTGTACGGCTCCTGTACAGTGAAAACCTGGCTTGTCACCATGGAGACCTTCAAAAGCATCTGGGCAAAGCAGGAGCCACCCCCACTCTACCCCGAGGATGGAGGTAGATCACCCAGACAGCCCGCCCCACTGTCAAAATTGCTTGGGCATGTCTAGCCGGTGTGACTCAGTGGTTGAACATTGACCTATGAATCAGGAGGTCACAGTTCGATTCCCAGTCAGGGCACATATCCGGGTTGCGGGCTCAAACCCTGATAGGGGGCATGTAGGAGGCAGCCAGTGGATAATTCTCTCTCATCATTGATGTTTCTATCTCTCTCTTCCTCTCCCAATCTGAAATCCATAAAAAATAATTTTTTAAAGAATTGCTCAGGCCTCCTTACCGGTCCAGGCTCCACTGGGGGCTGAAGGAAGCCAGGGCCTTCTCCTGTTGAGAGAAGACAGGGAGGGGAGAAGATGGGAAGATGGTGAGCATCCTTGGGAGCTCTCCGGAGCGAGGCATTCATATCTACACACATCTTTGACCTTGAGCATTTGATCTGGCTGTTTCCCCTGCTTCTAATAGTCATTAGAAGAAGTTCAAGCCACATTTTCCCAGTGATTCTTCCTGGCTTTTTATTTTATTATTATTATTTTATTTTATTATTATTATTTTTAAACTTTTTTATAAGACTTTATTTGAGCCAAAGGCCTCAGTTTCCCTCTTTCAGCCCTTGTAATTTGGGTGGCAGCTGCTTTCTCCAGGGTCAACTCTCCACCATATTGACCCTGCTTTGCCTTATATCAAGTACATCAGCTCCAGAAAAGTGCTTGTTTGGGGCAATGTTAAATTTTGCCACAGTTTTCAACCCCCCTCCTGATTCTTTTGACTCCCAGGGTGTTTATACTCTGATTTCCTCATAGTTAGTTTCTATCACTTACAAGGCAACCCCATATCTCTACAGGCTTGAGAGTGGGTTCCCTTGTGCTGCATTTTCCCTAAGGACTACGCAATGCCAAAGTCAGGGACTTTTCTAACACCCTGGGATGCCAAAAAATACTTATTGGTGCCAATTGAAGTGACATTCTGACTCCCCTCTGACCTTCTGTGATGGTCAGGCTGAGTTGGGAGGTAGTGGGGGTGGAAAACAAAACATGGAGAAGGAAAGAGAAAGAGAAAGAGAAACAAACTTGGTTACAGCCATTTCCTTCTGCACCCTATGGACTGCGTAGTGTGTGCAGAGATAAGAAAATGAACAGCAAGAGAAAAGGTGAGGACAGGCACCATGAAAGAGGATAAAATGCTGCAGCCATGGCCCAGGGTAAGCAGTGTGGTGACCTTCTTCCCTGCTCCCCTTGCCTCATGTGAAGGAAGAGGGTCACAGGGGCCACATCCTCCTCCTCAATCAAAAGCTTACCTATGTGAGAGGCGAGGGAGAGACTGAGACCAAGACAGAAAGATTGAGAGGTATGTTTGAGGTATGAGTCCATCAATGCATCTAAGCATGGGCCTAGGTTTTTCCAAACTTCCTACCTGTCCATCCCCACCCCCCAATGCCTGTAAGTTATTTGAAGGCAGGGAAAACATCGTATTCACCCCTGTCTTCTCAAGAACTAGCCTAGTGCCTGCCACATAGTAGATGTTCAAAATTGTGGAAGGAGTGACTGGATGGATGGGACCTACCAGCACAAGCATGGCCCCACCACCCCAAAGTTCCACATTGTTTAAGAGTAAGCCGGTTGTGATTCCCAGGATTTCTAACATGTGACTGGGATCCTGGAACTTTTGGGGCTGAGAAGTGAATTTTTGGGCTGGTGAGGTCCTGCCTATAAAACAAGGGACTCCTACTCCTCCACCATGATATTTCTTAGCCTGCACCTTAGTTGGGGTTGTGAAGGTCTGATATGGGTCCTTGGGGGGGCCATCCCCACAAAGGGGATTGCACCCAATGTTGTGTCACTTCCCTGGGCTCCCAACACCCCCACTCCTCCCCCGCCCGTTACTCCATCCCCACCCTGGAGGCCTCATCCTGCAACAATCAGCTCAATCAACTGGGTCTTGGGTTCTTCCTTCCTCTCCCTCCTGCCAACTTTGCCCTTCTGACCTCTCCCCTACCTTAAGTTGAGGCTTGAAATTAAGTACTCAGCTGCCAATGCCCCCTCACTCCCCAGTGGTCACTGAGCTCTTGCCTGCTTTCCTGATGAATGGGAAAGGAGGGGAAGGGAACATGGAAAGGGCACTCTGGAGTCATCCCATAAATCCAACCAGCTGTTCTAGTAGACAAGATCCTGGGAAGATCTGCAGAAAGGTGGCTGGAAATGCATACTAGGTTTGGGGAAGATCAGGGAAGGTGGAAGAGAGCCGGCAGAGGAACCTAATCCTTGAGGGACATAGCCTGACTCCATGAATGAGGGTTCTGGTCACTCATCATCAAGCACCATCCTCAGAGCTAGAGGTAAGGAAGATCCAGGCTCCTCCACTAGCTGGGGGTCAGTGATTACCTGAAGGTGCTACGCAAAGGATCAGCCAGTAATTGGCCCTGCCCTAGCTTCCGCTAGACAAGGCGCAGGTCCACTCCCTGCTCTCCCTCCATCACTCCCGCCTGCTCATGGTGACTTCCTTCTTCAAAGCCATGTGAGATTTTCACTGTCACCTCATTTTATCTGTGTACAAGTGCTTAAGAGTGGGGGTAACAACCAATTGCCCCACCTCCCCAGTCCTACTGGGGATTGAAAAAAAAGAGCAAGTAGTTGTAGGAATTGAGTTAAAAAGAGACATATCCTGGTGAGAATGGGTATGAGCACTAGCTTCAGAGTCAGGAGGAAATGGGGTACCAGGGGAAAGGGCTTCCTGAGTGGGGGTTGGAAAGCAATGGACACGGTGTCTATGGGAATCTCACATCTTCTCTGTGGTGAGCTCAGAGGGCAGTCATCTTTGCCTTTTCTCTGGAAAGAATGGCAAGGAAGGTCCAGAGTCAGTGAGTGGGGTGACCAGAGAGTTCAGGACCTTGAGATATCGTCAGGCAACTGGTGGTGGGGGCAGGAGGCTAGGAATGGGCAGTGGGGGTGGGTTTATGTAAGTGCTGGGGCTCATGGTGGAGATGAACATACCGGGAGAGGAGTGGAGGTGGACACAGGGCTCTCTACGTGGCTCAGGTGGGCAAAAGGCTTGGCCGCACCCCAGGATTCCAGGTAGCGGGTCATCAGAAGTGATGGACGCATCTTGGGGCCCTCAAGAGAGGACAGCAACCCTCCGGCAGTGCCCTTCTCATCCTCTTCCTCAGCCTGGGGTATATGAGGGCTGACAGTCAAGATTACAATCCCCCCACCTCCCGTTCTCCCCTACCCTTTAGAAGCTTGTGTCCCTTCCCCTGAGACATACACACACTAGGACCCAGGAACTCAGGTCTGGCAAAGAAGAGATAAAACCCGTGGCTGTGGGTGGTTAGGGTGGGCCAGCCCCTGGGTTCCAGGTTAGGCTTTTACCCGGGGATCGATGACCAGGTACGTAGGCTCCCCTAGCTCCCGAAGGTATGGGTCCCGGTGTTCTATAGCTGCATCCTCCACAGCGTAAGCTCCTGCCAGCAGGGCCAGGGTAGCCCCTGTGATATGTACTCGTCTGGAAGGAGGGGACAGTGGGAGTTAGGAGGGAGCACCTCCAACCTCTCATTTCTTTCCAGGATCATTCCTGAAGTTCTAACTTCAAGCAAGGCCCTGTGCTACAGGAGGTCTCTTCCAGCTCCCCTTCCTGCACCCCAGGGTCCCCCTGAGCCCCACATGGGACTGTGCTCATTTTAAGGAACTATGAAAAAGGAGGCAGCAAAGGGGAGACCTGGTTGGCCTCCTGCTGTAGCCTCCTGGAGCCCCAGGTCTCACCCTGGCACGCCACCTGCCTCCATGTGGTTGGCCAGTGTGACGTCATGGGACCAGACATCATACTGCCACTTCTGCAGCCCGATGACTCCACAGAGCACGCTGCCCGAGTGCACACCCACGCGCATGTTGATGTCCACACCGGTGGCTGCTCGTAGTTTCCTGAGCAGGGTGTGTGAGGGACAATCTGAGTACTGTCTTCAGCCCAACCCATGCCCCACCCCTCCTTTTCTCCCGGAAGACTTCCATTGCCCTGCCTGCTCCTCTCCCACATCCATCCCGCAGGACTCCTCCTGCCCGCCCACCTGAGCTGACCTGATGGCCCGGCACATGTCCAGCCCCATGCGCACGCAGTTGATGGCGTGGTCTGGTAAGGAGAGGGGCAGCCCGGAGACACAGTAGTAACAGTCTCCCAGGATCTTGATCCGCATGCATTCATGCTCCTGGGAGTGTGTGTGTGCAGGGGGGAGAGGGGCACCCGGTTAGAGGCCAGAGGAGGCAGGAGGAAGTTAGAAAAAGAGTAAATATGGTGCTCCTGAAGAACTTCTGATGTTGGAAGTGTCTAGATCGGATGTAGGGACTCCCTTAACTTGACATGGGGCTGCCTGAAATCTCCCATACTGGTGTCTTACTCAGAAGGGTTTTTCAAGGGTTGGGATGCCTGTGGTTCTCCACCTTTGGCACGTGTAGGCTGTATTCAGATTTGCGCCTATAAGTGTAGCCTCAGCACTGAGAGTTTTGGGGTGGGAGATCCAAGTTTAAGTTGCTTGGGCGCAGCCCTAAGGTCCAAGCAGGCGGCTGGGAAGGGCCTCCAAAGGCTAGAGCATCTGAATGCCTAGATTTGGTTACAGTATCCGGAGACAACTGTGTTGGGGTTCTGAGCATATTGGGGGCTGTGGTTGGGGCACCTGTGGAGCTGTTGAGAGACCTTTCCAGACTTGAGGTATGTGGTGAATGGGATGCTTGCAAGGCTTTCCTACTTCCAGTGGTGTATCTGGGAGCCCACATGGGTTCTGAGGTGGGACTGGGATCTGATAAGGTAGGGATTCCCTTGGAACGGGTTCTCCAGAGGGGGTGCTTGAAGCAGGGAGGCAGGCTCCCTTTACCTTGGCGATCTGGTCAAACTTGCCAAAGAGCTCATTGAGCATGAGCACCAACTCCTTCGGGGAGCACTCACTGGCCAGCCGTGTGAAGCCCACGATGTCAGCATAGAGCACGCTGGGCAGAGCAGACTACAGTTAGTGGGGTCATGGTCTCAGCCCGTGCCCCCTCCGCTCCAGCCATCCTTGCCCATACCTGACTCCCTGGTGCCTCTTGACATAGAGGCTGTGGAAGTTGTTGGTGCTCTCTGGCCTTGACCCCTGTCCAGCCTGCAGCCGTGCCATGATCTCTGCCTTCATCTCTCGGGCCAAGTAGGCAGGAAGGATGGACAAGAGAAGGTGTTCCTGGGAGAGATCACTATGAGAACCAACCCTCTTGCACCCTAAAACCAGGAGCCTGGTTTTAGCCCTAGGAGCCCACACCCTTTACCAGCCCCACTGGGGGTTCCCCAGGGCGCTGTCCCAGGGCCTCCTACCACATATACTAGCTATGCTCCAGGACCCCATCCTGCACTGATGACCCTTAGGGACTGAACTCCCAGCACCAAGGTCGGAATTAGAATTCGTTTAGTGTCATAGGGTTCTAAAGGGTTTTAACAAACTTCAGTTTGTTTGAGCCTCCCAGCAGCCTTCCAAGCAGGCAACAGCCACTTTTGACAGGAAGAAACAGGTCAGGGGACCCGCCCAAAGTCATTCAGCTTGTGAAGGAGCCCAGTTGTGTGAATAAGTAACCGCTCTCTCAGAGCCCAGGCCCCACCCGGCCCCCACTACCAGCGGACCTGGTGCTTCTTCTCCGTGTCCAGCCGCCGGCGCGAGTGCAAGGAACTGAGCGCCTCTCGGAAGGTGGCGCGCAGCGCGCGCTCCATCAGCGCCTTGTGGTACGCTCCCGCCACGTTCCCGCACAGGAACAACACCGCGTTTGCTGCCAACTGTGGGTGAGGGTCACCTCAGAGGGCGCTAGACCGGGCAGGGGTGGGGGGCCTATGTGTGTAGCTGGAGCTGGTCTCCAAAGGGGCTGGGGAGGACGCTACCATTAGAGACCCAAGTATTTCTAGGCAATGCTGCCACACGTGGGATCCACAGGTGGCGCTTCTCCCCCACCCCGTTCCCTCTGCTCCAGACTCTTGGCTGCTGAACCAACATGGCTTCTTAGGTCTAGAAACCTTTGCACATACTTCTCCTCTGCCTGGAATACCACTCCGTCACCCCCCTCCCACCCCATCCTACACACCATAGCACAAAGCTACTCAAGCTCCAATTTTTGCATTCTCTGTGAGGGTTCTACCATCTACATCTGTCCCCAGCACCCTGGTCGCCTGTCCAACTCCCTTCCCCGGGGGTGTAGAACCCTCTCCTGGTGTCTGCAGGCATGGCACTGCCCTGGGTGCCAGCTCCACCGGGGCACAGTGGGGACCTATCTGTGTTTGTGTCCTGTGCCTAGCGTCGCATGCTGCCATGGAGTCACAGCTCGTCATAGGGTTGGTGAATGCCCTGATGAACCCAGCAGTGCCCAGCGGAGCCGGCCCTGGGCGCAGCCCGTTCTGCATGCATGCTCACCTGCGGCAGCAGCGCAGGTCTTGAGTCTAGTTGAGGCCCAAGATACAGCCCGAGGACCAGCAGGTGTGAGAGGGAGGAGGTGAGGCCCGCAGCTGTGGCGTCCCGCATGCCCAAGGGCAACATGGCGTAGGTAGTGAAGATGACAAAGAGGAAAAAGGACACCTGGGGGAGGGAGGCGGGAGGCGGGAGGCTGACACAGCTGCTCTGCTCTACAGAATCCTGGGTGCAAGTTCAAGGTCCGGCGTCCCTCTCCCCCCTTCTCCACCTGCCGCCCCTCTCACCTGGTCCCAGGCGCTCACCACGCCCCCAGTGAATAGGAAGCCATGGCCTAACGCAAGCAGCGCTGCCCACACGAGGCCCGACAGCGGACGCGTCCAGCGCTGCAGCCGCTGCTCGCAGGAAGCCAGGCCCAGCAGCAGTGAGAAGCCGCCCAGCGCGCACAGCACTGTGGTCAGGAAGCCCGGGTCTGCGGCCAGCTCCTGTGGGGAGGGGCGCGTGTGGGGTTTGGGGAGCTCGTCCAGGAAGAGAAAGAATGGACAGCCCCTCAGGCCAGTTCTGAAAAGTGTCTCAAACCCAAGTACAAAGTAAGGCAGGGCACCTCCGCTTGCCATTTATATTAGGTCGAACCGTAGGAATTGCCGATAATCTGTTTGTCATCTACACGGCCAGCAATCTTATATGGTTCAAGCTAACATATCACTTGCAGGCTGCAGAGTCCGCTCAGTCATAGGCCATCTACCCAGAAATTCTGTCTTCCGTCCCATATGGGCCATTTGTGAATCCCTGACCATTCTGAGCCTCAGTTTTCTCATCTGTCAAATAGGAATCAGCACCAGCCTGGGGTCGGGAAGCAAGTAATTAAACCCTAGCTCACAGAAGGCGCTTAGAGATGAATGCGTCCAAGTTTGACCAATTTGCTCGGGAGAGTCCCGGCCGGCACAAACCTCAGGATTTCCGGCCCCGCAATCAGTGCTTTGGCAGCAGGGGGCGCCAGGAACCTCCCTCGCCTCCAGAGGCTGTGCCTCGCCACCCCCCGCAGGGCGTAGAAGTCCCGCTAGTGTCTTCACCCTTTGTCCCCGCTCTCCCCTAGACTGTGAGGTGGTCTCCCCACCTTACCTCCAAAGAGTGAGAAGAAAACTTGGAGCAGGATGTTTCCAGAAATGGAATGAAAAACCCCTTTTCTCTCCCCCCGCCCCCCAAAGGAAACTGGAAACGGGCTTAGTTTGGGACTAAATGAGAGTGGGATGGAGGGTGCCTTCTGGGAGTCTGTGGGTACAACTGCCCCACAACCCCTAAGTGGGAAAGAAAACCAGGAAACAGATCCCACAGGGCCCAGTGTAATTCTCCATCCTTTCTCCCCGCTCCACTCCCTGGAAAATCGCAAAACCTGGTGTTGGATTGACTCTAGAACTAGTGGAGCACAGAAGCTAGTCCGGTCTGTCAGCGCCCCGAGGGAAACTGGAAGCCTCCAGGGCCCAGCTACCTCCTGGTGTAGACCCGAGAGGTGAAGTGACTTGACCAGGGTCACCATAGTTCCTAGTAAGGTTCAGCGCTTCTTTCCTGGGTCCCAGCAAAGAAAGCGCATGTACAGAAGACCCCACCGGTCTCACCACCGAAAATGCCCCCCTGGGCTGTGACCCGCCCGCGCCCGTGAGGCTGGGGCCCCGCAGGCCCTGCTCACCCTGCCGCTGGCCCAGGCGACAGCCAGCAGCGCCAGGAGCGCGCAGAGCACGATCACCAGCAGCAGCAGCAGGAGCGGGTACTGTTGGCTCAGGCTGTAGTAGGTCTCGTAGAAGAGGTCTTCGCTGGGTGGCGGCCGGGGACTGAAGAGTCGGGCCATGGTCTCCCCTCGTCCCGCGCTGCACCGCCTGGACGCAGGCACGGGGCTGGGGAGGGTCGGTGTCCGGGTTACCGCCCGCGCTTCCAGCCAGCCCCAGCCGCGTCCCCCTCACCAGGTACAAGCCGCTGCCATCCCCACCCCCAGCCTCAGGCCATCCCATCTCCTTCCAGGCACACCCTGCGGCTGCCAGTGTTCTCCCAGTTGGCGGCAAGAGCTCTGCCCAATCCTTCGCTCCTCCTCCCTCAAACCCGGACTCCGGAGTGCCCGAGCAAAACCTCACCTCCAGGGGGACAGGATTTGGGGTTGAAGCAACGGGTTCCCTCTCTCCCCCAACTCACCGCCTGCGAGGCTGCTGCAGCTGAGTGTGCCAGGCCCGGGAGGGAGCTCGGGGAGTTAGCTGCGGAGTCACTCCTCGCCGCAAAGTTAGTGGCTCTGAGCCCCGGGCGACAGGCGCTTCCCTCCCGGCGCCGCGGGCCCCCTCCCACTTCCCCGATGAAACAGCCCGGCCCTTCCCGTGCCCGAGCGGGCCTCCCCAGGCCTCCTCCCCCACTCTGATTGTCTCTCCTAACAGCACTGCCTTCCCCCTTCCCCCTTCCCCCATCTAGGAGAGAAGGTGACTACACGAGAGACTCGAGGGGGTGGGGTGGGCCCGCAGAGTGGCAAGTGTTAAAACTGAGGTACAATGCTCGGATGCGGGGAGGCTGAGAGAGGGCTGGAGAGACGAAGATGGGGGCTCATTTCCCCCTCCAACTCTAGGGCCTGGACAGCCACCGCTGTGGCCCTGGCCAAATAATTGTCTATTCTCCCGCAATCGCCAGCTCCGTGGTTGGGGGCAGGTCTGTGCATAGCTTTGAGAAGCCATAGCTTTCCACTCCCAGACAAGCGGAGACCCCAAAAGACTCCCACCTCAGAAGCAGCGTGCATGTGAGTGTGTGTGATGGAGGAAGGTGATAGTGTGGGGGCTGACCTCGGAGAAACTGGAGAGGTCTCTCCTGCTGGGCACAAGGTCTGCAAATTCCCGTGGAGAGCCCCTCCCAGGACCCCACAGCCCAGTCTTTGTAGCCCAGAAGAAAAGCAGGGACAGCATCTAACCCCAGAGTTTGGTTTAGGGCAGAGATGGCAAACCTATGACACACGTGTCAGAGGTGACACTCAAACTTATTTTTTGGGTTGATTTTTCTTTGTTAAATGGTATTTAAATATATAAAATAAATATCAAAAATATAAATCTTTGTTTTACTATGGTTGCAAATATCAAAAAATTTCTATATGTGACACGGCACCAGAGTTAAGTTAGGGTTTTTCAAAATCCTGACACGCTGAGCTCAAAAGGTTCGCCATCACTGGTTTATGGGTCAGGTCTTGCCTGCTCTAGAGGAAGTGCCCTGCCCTGAGATTAGAGTGGGCCCCAGGAGCCAGGCCTCTGGGATTCCTTCCTGCCACGGCTGGGCCCTGACCTTGTGTGCCATGACATTGCCCACCCCCAGCTCTCAGCACTCTGCTTCCAGTCTCAGGGAGACTGCATTGCCTCCGCCACCCTCAATGCCAGTTCCCCAACTTCCCATCTATGTCCCTTCCCTCCTATGGCTGACACCTTAGCCTCCTGCATGGTACTTTGGTTAAAATACCACCACTTTCATAGGCAGCAAAATAGCAGATAGATGTCTTGGCAATATGTTTACCACTATAGCTCCTAAGGCAATGGAAACTAAGGAGAAAATAAATAAATGGGACTACATCAAAATAAAAAGCTTCTGCACAGCAAAAGAAACCATCAACAAAACAACAAGAGAGCCCACTGCATGGGAGAACATACAGAGTGGACAGATTATTATGACCACCCCATCAGTACAATGAAGTGAATTAGTTATGCAAATAACAATAATAATAAAACCTTGAGAGTATTTGCTTAGGAAGTTTTTAATATTCAGTATTTTTGGAAGTGTCAATGAAGTACTGATGGGGTGGTCATAATAATCTAGCTGGTCATAATAATCTGGCCATTCAGTGAATTTGCCAATGTTATCTCTAAGGGTTCAATCTCCAAAATTTACAGGGAACTCATACAACTTAACAAAAGGAAGAGAAACAATCCAATCAAATAATGGGCAAAGGACTTAAATAGACACTTCATGAAAGTGGACATACAGAAGGCCAAGAGACATATGAAAACATGCTCAAAGTCACTAATCATCTGAGAGATGCAAATCAAAACAGCAATGAAGTACCATCTCACACCTGTCAGAACAAATCAACAAACAGACAAGTGCTGGTGAGGATGTGGAGAAAAAGGAACACTCGTGCACTGCTGGTGGGAATGCAGACTGGTGCAGCCACTATGGAAGACAGTATGGAGTTTCCTCAAAAAGTTAAAAATGGAACTCCCATTTGACCCAGTGATCCCACTTCTAGGAATATATCCCAAGAAATCAGAAACACCAATCAGAAAGGACAGATGCACCCCTATGTTCAAAGCAGCACAATTTACAATAGCTAATATTTGGAAACAGCCTAAGTGCCCATCAGCAGATGAATGGATTAGAAATCTGTGGTACATCTACACGATGGAATACTATACTGCGGTAAAAAAGAAAGAATTCTTACCATTCGCAACAGCATGGATGGAACTGGAAAGCATTATGCTAAGCGAAATAAGCCAGTCAGAGAAAGATAAATATCACATGATCGCACTCATTTTTGGAATATAATGAACAAAAATAGATTCAAAGACATAGAAGCATCAAACAGACCATCAAAGTTTAGAGGGAAGGCAGGGGAGTAAGAGACCAACCAAAGGACTTGTATGCATGCATATAAACATAACCAATGGACACAGACACTAGCGGGGTGAGGGCCTATGCTAGGGGGTGTGTGTGGGGGGGGAAACCAGGGAGAGGTCAATGGGGGAAAAAGGAGACATATGTAATACTATATGTAATATTTTAAACAATAAAGAATTTTTAAAAAATACCACCACTTTATTGATTCCTGGGGGCACAAAGTCAGAAAAGCTCAACTAGTTGCCTCAAGTCCAGGAGTCAGTTTAGATGCTTCCTCAATTTTTGTCATTATTATACTGGCCCTGTGGCCCAGTCCAGGCATTATGTTCTTCTGGCACTTCTTTTGAAGCTACCTGTGGTGAAGGGGATGTTGCCAGCTCCATCCGAGACATCATATATCACCATGTGGTTGTTGTTTCCAAACTGCACTCCTTGGCAGTTATTGATGGAAAGGAACCCTATCCCTTGAAAAGAAACAGAGGTGTTAGTGTGAGGGTTAAGTCTTCAGCAACTTAGTTAGGAGGGGCAGCAGAGTGGAGGGGCAGCAGCACCTCGTGTTCGCCCTGGGGAAATGCAGAGACGGGGGTCTCAGGGCCTCCCAGGGAAGGTGTCAGGGATGCCTTTGCCTTTCCCCGGCAGGCTGCCCCTTCAGAACTGGGTGTGCAGAAGCTCAAGAGTGGTGGTAGCTGACGTTTCTGACCCGGGTATTTGGATCTTTTCTGCTTGGAGGCCCTCAGTAGCCACAATGGAATTTGGGGGTTCACAGAGTTGGTGCTGGGGAGCTAGAAGGCCTAGGACAAATCCAGGCTTTGCTGCGATCTCAGCAGGATCCAATCCCAAAGAGTATCAGTTTCTTCATTTATGAAATGAGAAGATTAGAGTAAGTTGCCTCTAGCCCTTTCTTTCCCCTTTTCTACCCCTCCTTGGGTAGGAGCTGGCAGCACCCCACACACAGGAGCTTCAAAAGAGGGCTTTTATATATGGTCTAGAGCAGTGGTTCTCAACCTGTGGGTCGCGACCCCTTTGGGGCTCGAATGACCCTTTTACAGGGGTTGCCTAAGACCATCGGAAAACACATATATAATTACATATTGTTTTTGTGATTAATCACTATGCTTTAATTATGTTCAATTTGTAACAATGAAATTGGGGGTCACCACAACATGAGGACCTGTATTAAAGGGTTGAGGCATTAGGAAGGTTGAGAACCACTGGTCTAGAGGATGGAGCTGGCGGAGGAATTGAGGGGGGGTAAGGGGGGGAGAGAAGGAGTGGGTATGGTTACCTGGTATTGGACTTGGTCCTGGCTCCCCGGGAGGCCGGTTGGTGCCACCTCTCCCAGCCCCCTGTGAACAACACAGAGCTCTCAGGCTCCCTGTCTTGAGGCCTCTTTCCAGAGCATACTTCCTCAGTCCCAAGTTTTCCCTGAAAAGGGGACAAGATTGGCATCCCCTAGTCCTGCCAAAGTCTCACCTGAGTTCTTTGGGGTCCAGGACTTGGGGTCCCAGCCGAGGTGGGGTTGGGCACCCGGTTTCTGAATGGTGAGGTCTCTGAAGTTGGGGGAAGTTGTTCAGTTGAATCCGAAGGCGCCCCAGCTGTCGAGGCATGCGGAACATGCTTTTCCTGTGCCTCAATCTTCTCAGGAAGGTTTGTACATTTTTCAGGAACAGAGCTGGGGGTTTCTTTCAGATTCAGGTTTTTCATCATTCCAGAGACCGTGGAATCAGGGGTTGCCCCACAGTCATCCATTTCTGTGCCCCTTGAGCCTGTCTCAGGGGCAGACAACCTGTTGCTGCTCCTTTGCTCCGACAGGAACTTCTTCACCTGCAAGGACAGGGAGAACTTGCTGGATGTGGAGGTGGGAGAGCCAGTGTAAACCCTAGGAAGAGGTCTCTTGGCCCATTTCTGCTGTCAGGGAATCAGGAATGGGGTGGGGAGAGTGGGCTGAGGGCTAGGGCATAAAGAGCAGTGGTCAGTGGGGAGTCACTGGGTGGCCAAGGGAGCCATGTGGTGCCATTCCTTCCCAGCTCTTAGGTTGGGGCTGGTGTTGGGTACTCACTGTGGAGACTGCAGCATCCATTTTTGTACCAGCTTCATCTCGTACCAGGTGGAGGGCGCTCTCAATGTTTGGTTGGCAGTCTGGAGAGAAGGCAGAGTGGGTGGCAGGTGAGCAAAACTTCTTTCTCTGAGAAAGCCCTCTGTTGACAGATTGAGGACCAACCCAGCTGCCAGTTTAGTGGCCAGTTCACCTTGGAAGGAAGGCCTGTGCTTGGGCTCATGGCTCCAGCAGCGCTGCATCAACTCCGATAGTCCCTCCAGGCCAGGAGTCTCAGGGCCGGGCTGGGGCAGGTCTGTCAGTGGGGGCCGGTTCTGGCTCTCATACACACCTTGCTTCACCACTGATGTCAGGTTCACTGCTGAGGTGGGGGTGGGGGACATGAAGAGAAAGCATTCGGAGTAGGAGGGGCGACCTGCTCCATCATAGGACAGGGCAGGGAGTATAGTCCAAGGGGAGGGGAGGAGCGGGTAGGACAGTCTGAGCAGGTAAGCAGGAAGTGGAGGGCTTGGGGGCTTTCAGGAGGAGGGCGCCGGGGGTTAAGGATCCAATAGTCTGCTTGAAGTCTTACTCTCAGCTTCTCTTCCTGCAAGCACCGCCCACATTAGGATCCCAAAGCTGCAAGAGACAAAAAGCTGAGGCCTCTCCCAACCTCTGGCATAACTTCTCTTTCATACACCTTCCCCTAGGAGGGCCCAGAGAGGTGTAAAAATTGGGGCGGTTGTTAGGCATGGGTGTCTTACCTGTAGACATCACTGGCTATAGTAGCTTTCTGGTTTACATCAGCCAATAGTTCTGGGGCCAAGTAGGCTGGGGTGCCCCCTGACACCCCAGACCCTGCCCCTGACTGTGAGCCTCCCAGAAATGTGGACAGGCCAAAATCTGCCAGCTGCAAAGGAAGGGAAGGAGGAGGAAGTAGGGAATGGATAATGCCAGGCAGCTCCAGAATCCTCTTCTTTCCCCCTCCCCCAACCCCACCCAAGATACAGGTCCAGCCTTGTAAAGGGGGTGAGGAGGGTTAGGAAAACAGTAGGACCAATTGGGCCTTGGTTTGAAGGTCTGCGTCCCCTCTGAGGGTGGATCAAAGTCTGAGTCTCCCGGGCTGCCAGCCATGGGTCTTTGGAGAGCCTAGTGGGTGGGCAGGTGGAAGTGGCTGTGTTGGTCAGGGCCTCTGTCACCTGGTGTGGCAGGAGCTAAAGCTTCTGCATAGGCCTTGACACTTGGGCAGCCCTGTGTCCAGAGGGAGATGCTGAGGGTATTCAGTAGACAGAGCTGCAGGAGATGCTTTTTCAGTTGGTGGGGCTGGAGCGGCTCCGGGGCACGACC